CCCCTTTCTGTTCCCCCACCCTGACCCTTCCTCTTTTGTTGCTGAGGAGGCACAGACTAGATATAGACAGGGGCCTCACTCTGCACTGATGGACAAGGAAGGGTGCAAGCTTGGTGCTATTGAGTGATGATCCTACTCTTCTTCGGCCTTAAACCTGTGTATAGCGAACTACAAAGCCATAAAGGCAGCCTATCAGCTGTTTTTATAGGACCACATATCAGTTTACCTATATCTCCTCCCTGATGATAAGAAGTGTCCGGCCAAGCCTTTGCAAACAGAGGCAGTCAAGCAGGAAATGAACGCTGGCCGCCATGCGGCCGACTGCTCATGACATGGCCTATGCATTCATGCTGCGTGGGCACACTTGGCTGCACTCCACTGCTCTTCCACCAGAGACACAGGCTAGAGTCTCAGACTTATTTATTTATTCCTTGCAAACAGGGGGAATGCTTGCCTTTTTTGTGGGTATTTGTGTGTGTGTGTATGCTTGCATGCCTGCCTGGAAGTCATAGTGACTTCTGGTGACCCCTAATGGGGGCTTGGACATTTTTCAGAGAGGTGGCTTGATAGCCTGCCTCTGTATCCCAATCCCTGGTGTTCCTTGGAGGTCTCCCAACTACTTGCCAAGGTCGGCCCTGCTTAGCTTCCAAGATCTGATGAGATCAGGCTTGCCTGAGCTATCCAGGTAAGGGCAGAATGCTTGCCTTTTGAGGGCTCAAAACTTTTTCATCTAAAACAGGTGACACCCTGGCTCAAATTTTTATTTTATTTATTATTTCAGAAGAATAAACAAATAGCTAAATCTCTAGGTGTCACAATGTAGGCCCCTCAGCCTTATAAGTCCCTCTATCAGTCACATCCTCCTTTCCAGCATCAGGTTCAGAGACAAGCCAGGTATATGCCCTCCAGCTATGTCTCTCATTGGTCCTTCCAGTCTCAATCCCAACTAAGGTGCAAAGGCTCCAGGCCTAGATCTAGACCAGCTCAATTCCAGTCTCCAAAAGACCCTCAGCAGGGAGAGAAGTCATTCTTTTTGCTAGGCATGACTCACCTACAGCTCAGGCTATACTTTCTGGACAGACTGGTACCTTCTCCGTCTCCATCACCAGTGACTTCTTCGTGCTCTTCATGGTGCAGCATGGTTATAGGATTGACTTTAGCAGAAGGCCCCCTTCTACATCTTTTTCTACTTCTGAGCCTCTGTTACATGCCATACAACCAGTCTCATCTGAGGACATCCTTAATGGATTTTATTCAAGATGCTTCCTGGTGGCAAAGAGGGATGGTGGACTCCGGCCTATTTTGGACCTTAGCAAGTCCAATAAGTTTGTTAATGTTAAGAAGTTTAGGATGGTTTCTCTCCAAGTTGTTGTTCAGTCCCTTGAACTAAATTTGTGGTTTGCTGTTTTAGACCTGAAGGATTCTTACTTTCATGCAGGGTTGCCAGCCTCTAGGTGGGGCCTGGGGATGTCCTGCTTTTACAACTGATCCCCAGCTGATAGAGATCAGCTCCCCTGGAGAAAATAGCTGCTTTAAAGGGTGGAATCTATGGCATTGTACCATGCTGAGGCCCCTCCCCTCCCCAAACCCCACCTTCTCCCAGATCCACCCCCAAAATCTCCAGATATTTTCCAACCTGGACCTGACAACCCTACTTTCATGTGGCTATCCATCCCTCCCAATGGAAATGTCTACACTACAGGTGTTCTAAGTCACATTTCCAGTATACTGTCTTACTTTTTGGCCCTGCTGTGGCACCACAAAATTTCACTAAGTGTATGACTGAGGTGGTGGCCTATCTGTGCTCTAAGGGCTGTATGATTTTTCCCTATTTAGATGTCTAGTTATTAGTTGGCCCATCCACCCATAAGCTTTGTCCACACATTCAGCTGATGGTAGACCTATTCACTAGTCTGGGTCTCACCATCGATTTTGAAAAATCCCATTTTACTCTGTCCCAGCATGTGTAGTTCATTAGGTCTATATTGGACTCCAGGGGTGTGCATTCGGCTCTATCTGAGCCGTTAAAAATAGCCAGAAAATACATATTGGTATTTATCAGCTATTCTTTCAGCCAGATATAGCTAGTTTTGGCTATCAAGCATAGCCAATCCAGATAATCCCCCCAAAATTTGGGATTATCTGGGAAAGCAGGATAGCCACTGTTAAACAGTGTTTAAAGAGAGTGCACTCCCTTTAAACACTGTTCCAGGTGAAGCTGTAGCTTCACAAACATATTTAAAGGGATGGTGACACCTTTAAATGCCTTTGGTTCCATTACAGCCTATGGGGAGCATAATGATCCCCTTAGGCTGTAATGAGGAATGTATCCGGGGAGTGTCTCTTTTTTTGAGATAGAGGCACACAAAAAATCCCGCAAGTTTCAAAAAAGGTGCCAAAGTAGGTCCCAAAGAAGGTGCCCCCATTCTCCATTATTTCCAATGGAGGGGGAAAATAGCAAAAAAGCAGGGATTGTATCATGGTGGTTCATGACCTCTTATACAGGAGTTTTGTACTGCACCACAATATTCCCAGGCTACAGCTAGCTGCCTGGCTGTTGAATCCTCCTTAGGTCTGTCAGATAATGCCCTCAGAATGTTTGAGTCAGAATGTTGTTGAATGCCTGTAGCCTTCCACCAGAAAGTCATACCACCATAAGTGGGGAAGGTTATCACTTTGTGTTGTTCAGAAGTGTCATTCACCTTCCATCTGTCCCTTACCTATTATTCTAGGCTACATGTATTTTTTTTGTGCAAAATCTGGTTTGGCTCTATCTTCTATCAGGGTCCAGCTAGCAGTGATGTCCACTTTCCATGAACCTATTCAGGGTCATTCAGTTTCCCCCCACAATCTATCAAAACAATTCCTCAACGGTTTGGCAAACTGCTTCCTTGGGTAACCTAGCATAGTTCTCCCATGGAGTTTATATTTGGTACTGGCTCAGCTCATGTTCCCTCCTTTTGAGTCCTTATTTTCCTGTCCTTTCCCTTTTCTATCCATGAAAGCCTGTTTCCTTGTAGCCATAACCTCTGCAAGGAGAGTTAGTGAGCTGGCTGCTCTTCACTCGGACAAACTCTTTGTTCAGTTCTTTAGGAACAGGATCATCCTATGCGCTAGCATTGGCTTTTTGCTGAAGGTGGTGTCAGATTTTCAGTTATCCTAGCCTCTCAGTCTCCCTGTGATTTTTCCAAATACCACCACAGAAGTAGAAGAGGCCTTACATAGTCCGGATGTACATAGAGTTTTACTGTATTATTTGCACAGGTCATGATGACCCCTCTGCAAGGACTTAAACCTTGATCAGATATTCCAGGCCTTCTTTAGTTTCTGTGTTCAATTCGAAGTGCCTTGATTGGGTAGAAAGGCAGAATATAAGTGTTGTAAGTAATAAATAAAGTACTTGTGTTGATATTTAAAGCCCTTCATTATCTTGGACTTTCATATCTGTGAGGCTGCCTCCACTTGTAGGCTTCCCAAGTTCCTGCTGGGGACAGGGGATCCCCTGCCTCCAGTGGGACTTTCCTACTACTGCCTCACTGCATTGCTAAAGCTGCTGTAGCATTTGAGTAAAACTCTATAATTAAACCATATTGTTTTGCCTGAATACTAGGGTGTCCCCCCCCACACTGCTTTGGTGAGTCTCCCACCAGTTGCCAGCCTTGTGCATAGTCTACAAGGCATCAAATCTAGCTTTATTAGCTGTTCAGGTCAGTAAAAACTGTTGTTGCTAGGGGTGTGCAAAAAAAAAATAATTGACCGATTCGGATTTGGCCGAATCAGGCAGAATCATTTCTCCTTTACCATTACCTATTCAAGAAACAGACCTGACAAATATGGATGTAAAACATTTGGATTCTGTTTTGAATAAGCATTATTTTCTTGATGTTTTTGGTAACAACAAAAGATTTTTTTTTTAATTTCTAGGATACTACTGTCATTGAAATTCCAGTAACTAATCCCACAAATGACATTCTGATGTTGGATGTTCTAGTAGATGTTGGTGTACTTAGTGGTGAAAAAAGCCTCCTTCTTCAACCAAAAGAAACAGTATGCTATGAAGTAAAGTACTCTCCAGCATGTACTGGCAGCTCAAAAGGAAGGTATTTATTTTATTTATTTATCTAATTCGATTTGTATCCCGCCCTCCCTACCGAGGTAAACTATAGTTACTTATAGAAGTAGTTTCACTTGACCTAATAGTGCTTTCCACTAAGGTCCAAGCCAGTCATGACACTGGGAGTTCCAGGAATGGAGCTGCCAGCATTATTTCCTTTAATAGAAGGTGCTCATGAGCCCAATTTAAATCGGAACTATGGTTTAAGAAATGGGGGAGGAGATTAAGACTACCATCCCCATGCTGTTTTCCCAACCTGAAACAGCCCAGTGGTCATGTTACTTCCACACTTCGGGAACTATACAGATGTTAAGTAGCAGCTGCAATAGGCTGTTTATGGTCAGAAAAATGGTGCCTGTGTATGGGGAAAACTTAAGACTGTTGGATCTGCATGCATCTACAATACCCCCCCCCCCAAAAAAAAAACCCCAACAACCCTGGGAGCTCCATTCATAAAACTCTGGGCATCGTATCTGTTCGTCCTTAGTAATATTCATTTTTAGAGCCAAACTGTACATTACTTTTATTCATGTGTTTTGAAGTGTTCCCCTCAGCCACACAGCAATTGTGGGGAACTGCATCTAAAAATAAGGAGAATCCAAATAGGCTTGGAACAGTGCTGTGGGGGGAAGAAGGGTTCCTCCTTCCTCCCAAGCTGATTCTCTTGCAAAACTGTGCTGGGGAGTGTTATTTCACCAGATTCGCTGCTCCATATGCATGGGTACTTTACATGAAGCAGCAAAATTGGTCAAATACCACCCCCCAGCATGGTTTTTGTGTGAGAAAAGTTCTGAGAGTGGGGAGGCAGAAGTCATTTCTCCTCCCATGGCACCTAGCCAAGCCCATTTGGGCTTTCTATTTATTTATTTCTTTTTTATTAAGAATTCTTACAACAGGTGTTTTTAAAAAAGAAAATACAAAGTTAAAAAAACAAAGAAAAAAGAAAAAGAGAAGGGGGAAAAGAAATATAAAGAATATAAAGAAGTGACTTTTGATTTTCTCCATGACAAATATAAGTAAAGTTATAAACTTTATTCCATGCCTTAATATAATTATTTTAAAATAACATCTATATACTAATTCTCAACAGTCACCTCTGTGTGCGGATACTTATTTCCACCAACAGAGGGCACACTGTCCCTCAACAGGTTTTTCTTCAGACTCAGGGGACTCTGTGGGGCTACAGAAAAACCTTAAAAAGTAAAGAAAACCCCTCAGGGAGGATTCAATTCCCCCCCCCAGTACCTTTTGAAATGGCTGCTGCAGGGATCTACTCCACCCTGCATTGACAGTGAGAGATTAGAACGTACTTGGGGGCTGGAGGCTTCTGTCAGTAAAAAGCAGGGGAGGGGGAAGGGCACTTTCCTGGCCTATTTTTGGTATTTCAGGGAGGGGATCCTTAGGGCCAGGCCTGACAAGGGTTGCCAGTGCCAGTCTGGGAAATTCCTAGAAATATTGTGGTAGTGTCTAAGGAGGGCTATGTTTGGGGAAGGGAGAGGCCTCAGCTGGATATAATGCCACAGAGTCCACCTTCCAAAGCAGCCATTTTTGTAGGGAGACAGATTTCTGCTGTCTAGAGTTCAGTTGTAATTCTGAGGGATTGCCAGGCCCCACTTGGTGATTGGCAACCCTAGGCTTGGCAGCAACTTGATGCCATCTCACTTTCATGTTTCAAGTAGGCCCAGCTGTTTGTTACTGTACATCAGCAGCCACCCTATGAAAGCCAGTGTGATGTAACAGTTAGAGCTTCAGATTAGGGTCTGTGAGACCCAGGTTCAGATCCCCATCTTGCGGTGGAAACTGACTGGGTGATTTTGACTAGGGTTTTTGCAGACCCTACTCTGATGTTCTAGCTGCTATACCATACTGGTTTTTATAGGGTGGCTGCTATTGAACATTAGCAAGCAGTCAGGCCTAGTTGAGTCATGCAGATCAAGTGGTGCCAAGTCACCCAGAGGTTACTGCCAGGCCTATAGTTGCCAGTCTTTAGGTGGGACCTGGAGATCCCCAAATGACTGTCCCCTTGGATCAAATGGCTGCTTTGGAGGGTGGCATTATATCAAGCTGAGGCCTTTCTGCTCCCCAAACCCTGACCTCCTCAGACTCCACAACAAAATCTCCAGGAATTTCTTAACCTGGAGCTAACATCCCTTGTCAAGCCTAGCCCCAACTTAGTATTCCTCCCTCAAATAACAAAATATGCCTGGAAAAGCCCCCCCCTCCCCCTGTCTTTTACTGAAAGAACCAGGCTTGAAATACTGTAGTTGCCTAGCAACAACCACTGAGGCCTTACTGACGACCTCCGCAGACATCTGGATCGGGGCGGCGTGGCGGCACTGTTGTTACTCAATCTGTCGGCCGCATTTGATACGGTCGACCATCAGTTGCTTGCCCGCTGCCTTGCCAACGTGGGGATTCAGGGGCTCGCTCTTCAATGGCTTGTCTCTTTTCTCCAAGGTCGGGGACAGAGGGTGGAACTAGGGGAGCAGCGGTCCCGGAGGTACCCGCTCGAATGCGGTGTGCCTCAGGGGGCGGTTCTCTCCCCGATGCTTTTTAACATCTATATGCGCCCCCTAGCCCAGATAGTCCAGAGGTATGGGCTTGGGTGTCATCAATATGCCGATGACACCCAGTTCTATCTGATGTTGGGTGGCCAGTCGGATTCCGATCCAGAAGATCTGCACCAGGCGTTGCAGGCCGTGGCTGGATGGCTCAGGCTGAGCCGGTTGAAGCTGAACCCGGCGAAGACGGAGGTCCTGTGTCTGGGTCGGAACGGGATGGGACTGGGGCTCCCGCTCCTGGCCTTCGATGGGGCGCCGTTGGTGCCAGCTTCGGAGGTTAGGAGTTTGGGAGTGCTCCTGGACTCCACCTTATCAATGGAGTCCCAGGTTGCAGCCACTGCCAAAGCGGCCTTTTACCACCTTCGGCTGGTGCGGCAGTTGGTTCCCTTTCTCAGCCGCGAAGACGTAGCCACAGTGATCCACGCGACAGTCACCTCGAGGCTAGACTACTGCAACGCTCTCTACATGGGGCTGCCTTTGTCGCTGATTCGGAGGCTGAAGCTAGTGCAGAATGCGGCGGCCAGGCTGGTTGCTGGTGTCTCGAAATGGGAGCACATCCAGCCTGTACTCAAAGCGCTGCACTGGCTGCCTATAGCATTCCGGATTCGCTTCAAAGTGCTGGTGCTTACCTTTAAAGCCCTACATGGCCAGGGTCCAGCATACCTAAGGGACCGCCTTGCCCCACATAGACCCCAGAGAGCACTTCGGTCGGGGTCGCTACACCGCCTCGCGATCGGTGGCAGCTCCTATCTGGTGGAATGAGCTCCCAGAAGAGATCAGGGCCCTGCGGGACCTGTTGCAGTTCCGCAGGGCCTGCAAGACGGAGCTCTTCCACCAGGCTTTTGAATAGGAGCTGCCGCCACCACCACTACCACCAATGGGGCCTGTCTACAGCACCGCCGGAAGCCAATGTGGCTAATAACATCAGGAGGCCACAGCAACCTCTCCTGGGATGAAACGGTTGTGCAATAGGGAGAGAGGGTTTGAGTCACGCGGGATCCTTGGGCGTGGCCCATGTATTAAGTGTTTTAAATTGTTTTATCATTGTTTTATCGCACTGAGTGCCATACTGCTGTAAGCCGCCCTGAGCCCGCAAATGCGGGGAGGGTGGGGTATAAATAAAATTAAATAAATAAATAAGATATACATTAAAACCTACACTTTATAAACAACTCAGTCCCAGGAGAATAAACCAGGAAAAACCTGTAAATACAATAATTATGAAATCAGTAGCAGAGATCATATAGGTGGCCAAAATAACTTCCAAGTTTGAGATGAACAAAAATCTGCAAAATGTTTTTTTGGGGAAAAGACACAAAACAGAATTCTTGCATCTGAACCTCATTTCTGTTTGTGATTGTATCCTTTTTTTATACCCAAAGTTGAATGACATGTTAGTAAAATACCCCTATGATGGGCTCTCTCACCTTTACAAATTTCCCTTCATACTATGGTATGGTAATCGTCCTCTACCAAATACACTTAACCCATGAAGCTGGAGGTGACAATCCTTCTTCCCCTCACCCTCTGGTATCTTTAAAAGCAGCACATTCCAGTTCCCAAACACTTGTGAGAAGAAAGTGTGAGAATGAAGAAGCCCAGCTAACCAAAATGTAACTGAACTCTCATTAGACTATGGCATCTTCCAGACAGCCTTAATGTTCCAATTTCATTCCTTTTCATTCCCATTGTTTTTTAAATCGTTTCCACACAGTTTAAATTAACAATCCCTTGCTGTCCCAGCTTTTATCCTCCCCCCTCCACTCTTTCTGAAACCTGTTTTCCTTTGATCCTTCCCCCCCTGAAACTCTAATGAGAATTTGGGAAACCCTGTAAAGGTATGCCTGACTCGCCACAGTGTTTTTAAAGAGGCCTGGGGATCAATCAGGTAAGGAGGATTATCTCCTGTAGCTCCTGGGAACAGTGTGGTAGGTGAGACAAAGCTGATGAGGAAAGTGGCTGCTATTGCTGCTGGCTCAGGTAGCAAAATATATCAAGCCATGAAGATAACATAGAATCAGAACCAGAAACAGCTAGGGTTGCAAGGTCCAGGTTGGGAAATACCTGGAGATTTGGGGGGGGGGGGAGCCTGAGGAAGGTGGGTTTCAGGAAGGGGAGGGACTTCAATGTAGTGTAATGCCATAGAGTTCACCTTCCAAAGCAGTCATTTTCTCCAGGTGAACTGATCTCTGTTGCCTGGAGATCAGCTGCAATAGTGGGAGATCTCCGGCCACCACCTGGAGGTTGGTGACTCTAGAAATAGCAATCACTCCAGGGCTGAAGGAACAGTAACAGAGACAGTTTGTACTTCTTATATTGAACTGCCCTGGATTCCAAGGGTTAGATCCAGAGACTTGATCCTGATAACCCCCCAAAGGATTTCTGCTTATCATTATGAACAAAGGTCATGAGTGGATGTAGCAGACAAAGTATTAATTTCCTTCGGCTCATAACAAAAGCTGAGACAACAATATTGCTTAATAGTTTTGGGTGAAGGAGGCAGATCTTGGACTCCTTGATTTCTTAGGGCCAAACTAGACATGGATGTTTTTCCGAGAGTTGGTTCTGGGTTCCCCAACCTGACTCTCATACTCTTACAATCAGATGGCAGCTGCTGGAAACTAAGTTTCCAAGTGTGCTATATGGACCTGATTTGGACTGAGATGTGTCATGTGTGGTCTGGTCAGTTCCTGGATGGAAGACCTCCTGGGAACCTATCTTCATCTCCTTAGGTGTTAAAATGAAAGAGAGACAGGATATTAATGAAATAAATAAAGGAATACAGCACTACACTTAGGGTGCGTTTAGACGGGGCATTTGTACCGGAATAGGTGCCGGTTGCAATCGGTGTACTTACCGGCGTTCAGACGTAGAACATCTGCCTTCCGTCCCTAACCGTTACAAAGCCCTTTAAACCGTTGCACTCTTCCACTAGGTCCCCAAGTGGTGGTATCCTGAGTGCAACGGTTGCTTTCGATGTCGTCCCCCTCCCGTCTGATCGCTCTCCACCGTTGCAGAGCTACTTCCGTTTGGAAGCCCGAGGCTTCCGATTTTCGCCCCCCATTTTTTTTAAAGGAGGGCGATATGCGCTTGGGCGAAGCTTCGCCCTGGCATTTGTTTAAAAAAAGAAAAGAAAAGGGCCTTACTTTAGTTTCGGAGGCGTCCGGGACCTCAGGGAGGCTACTTTGCTCCTTAAACTTTAAAGGTTAAAGTCCTTACCTTTAAAGTTTAAATGCAAGACTGATTTTTTTTTGCGGGGCTGGGAGACGGATCTCTGTTCCTTCTCTGCTCTCTGGAGCAGGGGCTGGAGGAGGCACACTGGTCGTTTGCACAAAGTGCTCCGCTGCTGGGTCTGACTCGCAGCCGCATTCCTCTTTCTGCGGGGCTCTTTCTTTGCAACTATGTCTTCAACCTCGACTCCTTTCATTAACCCTTTCCCCAGACCTCACTGCCTTGCTGCCGCCGCCGCTCCAGCCGGCAAAGCGATCCCTGCAGGTTAAATCTATGATGGATCCTTTGATTGAACTGGGGGGGGGGGATGTGGTTTCGGTTGGCTGCTGTGGCTCGGCATTTTGCATGCCAAGGAGGGGTCTGTGTTGTACACACTATTTGAATGGGC